GGGGGGGGGGGGGGGACACGCGTTTTCCGCTCTCTCGGACGTCTCGTTGGAGCGCGGCCGAGGTGACGCCGACGCCTCCGTCCGCCGAAGATATCAATGCGACTAATTATCAATTATCGTTATTGGCTCGTTTGTCCGGTTCTTTTTTCCCTGGGAGCGGGGGTGGCACACAGAGCGCGCGGCCAGGTGTGTTTCTCTCGCGCGGCCGCCGTCGCGGGAACGTTCGAAAGGCAGGGCGGCGGCGTTCGGCGAGTCAGCATTCCTTCGCGCGGCCTCTGACATCGGCGGTCCTCTCAGAGGGCTCTTCCCGTCTCCTTTCGATTCCCAGTATCCTCGGTTCGACCCTCCTCGTCCAACGCTCGCGGCCGGAAGAAAGGTAAAAAAGACCGGCCGGGTGCGCGCGAGCGGGAGGCAGAGAGGTGTCGGCTCCGTGTGCGTGTGATCGTTTAGGCGCCCATATGTTGGACTTGTAATGAGAGAACGAACGTGCTCACCGCCGGGACAGGGAGGCGGGCACTCGATGAAACGCTTTATAGATTATCGCCCCGGCCACGCCATTGTTTTATCGCGCACGGTCGCCCTGTTAGCGCGTCGCCGCCTGGAAATGTCAATTATACCGAGGGAGTGTAATTAAGCTGCGCGTATCGGAACGCTCCGTGAGACTCTTCGCTCGAGATACTCTCCCTTACCGAGAGAGAGAAACTGAGAGAGAGAGAGAGAGAGAGGGAAATCCTGCGGTTCTCGCTCACGCTCTGGCTTATACCCGTGCCCTCTCGCGCGACTAATTCGCCGCGACCATCGACTTTCTCACGAACACCGAAGATCTGAGTCGGTGGATTTCTTCTTCATCTTCTTCTTCCGCTCCTCTTTCCCTCCGCCACGAGGGTGCGAGGGCACCTCTGACGAAGTGATCTCGCGTATTTAGTAATATCTTGCGGTCTGTTCTTTTTAACCGAACTCTCAACCGAAGAGTCAAGACCAAGCGATCCCGGTTCATTGGTAAAACAATCACAGGTTCATACATAATGAAATACCAAAATAGTGTGATCATATACTACTGAAAATAGGAGGGATATATCTTGTAACTTTCGGCCCGATCGGATAAGTACTTCCGGATAGGGCGTTTTCACTGGCCCTTTGATATTTCGAAATACAGTCTTCATCAGAGAGAGGAATAACCCGATGCCAGTTGGTAACTGATATTATTACAGCGGTATCTCATTTTTCTATTTGACCGTGGCTCTCTCTCTCTCGCTCGTACTCACGTTCACAGTGTTGCGCGGCGACGGTAGCCGGCAGATCGACAAACGACAAATGTTGCAGCGGTGAGTTATTCGCATCACTTCCAGGCGATCTTGTCGCCGGGAAGCGCGCGCGCGCCTCGAGGCCAGGTTGTCTCGTTGATAGGCACAATCAATATCGGCCTCTCGACGATGAAAAGCGGTCGATCGGGCTCTGAATAGATCGCGTGAAAAGACGCGTGTAATCAATTACGGTGGGGGAGGGAGGAGGGAAGGGGGTGGCCCCGCGGTGTCGAGAGCAAATATCTCATTCGTAGCAACGTCATCCAGAAATGTGCCGGTCAGCATCCCCGCTGAGTGCGCGCTCGTACACGCGCGTCCTGTCGCCTTCGTCGTCGTCGATCTCGTACACGGCTCTTCGTAATGTCATTTCACGTACACAATGTACGATTAACACATTGCCCGGCGAGAGGTCATCGTAAATATCGATCAAAACGACCCGCGCCGTTAAATGATGCGCCGTTACGACCGAGGTCTCCTTCTTTTCGGACCGGAGAGAGTCACTTGAGGGAATTTCCCTGCAGTTCCGTATAGCTGATAGATCTCGATCATTCCCGAACGTCGTGTTTCTTCAACCACACCCTCGGTTCTCTCTCCTTCGTCCGATCGTGG